ATCTGTTTTATTCTTCAATGTCAAGAAGTTTGTTGAGAAGCAACCCAATTTGTGCCTTGTGGTAAAATGTCACAAAAAACATATTTTTAAAATTCAGTTTTTTTTTTTTTTTTTTTTGGTCAAAATTGATAAATCTGTTTTACTCTGCAATGGCAAGAAGTTTGTTGAGAAGCAACCCAATTTGTGCCTTGTGGTAAAATGTCACAAAAAACATATTCCATAAAAATTTCTACATCAAGAATCAATAGATAATGATGTTCATAAAAGTAAAAGAGAAACACATTGAAATACTATTTATTATTTTTAATTAATAAAACATTCTGGTAAAAGCACATCAGTATCACACTTGTTGTAGGAATGTTTGACAAAATTATTAACATTCACATAAATTATGTTTAAAAATTGCTCGTTATATTTAAAAGAAAACGAAAAATTGAATGTTCAATTTCCATGAAAAAATTTCTCTGTTATTTAGATATACATGTGAAAAGAAATGTTTCAATATCTTAATCAGCAGTCTGAGAATGAATTTAAAACTAAAAGTGAAATTTTTATAAATGTACTGTTCAAGTTATTGTCTGCGACTTTAATGGCCATCAAAATATTTTTCAAAACTGGTTTAGCTTTTAATGTCTTTTCTAAATGTCTGTTGATGTGATTTTATTTTTAATGTGAAATAAAATATACAATCTAAAATAACTGCTCGTATTTGAGTGTTTTCTGTAAGAGTGATAATTTCTAGACTAGATATTTGTGTTGTAAATAAAATCTTAAGTTCCTCATTGGATTCTATCATTTTGTTCATTTGAAGTGTATTGATTTCTCCTGCTTTTTATAAATTGATTTACTAAATTAATTTGATTGATCTTGGCAACCATTAATTTAGAACTTAACTCTTAACTAAATTAGCATCCTGGTCCATTGCCTTCTAGATGCATTAGTGCCAGCTACATACACTAAGGTTCATCTTTTATACCCATGTCAGACACATTGATCATAAAACATGTGTAGGTTAAGGCCAACATACACTAAGGTTCAACTTTTGTACAATGTCAGAAACATTGATCTTAAGCATGTATAGTTTAAGGCATGTTCAGAATACTGTAAATGAAAGCACGGGCTTGTTTTTTTAAAAGCTTTGAAAACTTAAAATTGTAAACTTAAGACTGCTGAAACAAAATGGTTACTGACATTTTTTAATGGTTGCAGATGTCCATGATTTTAAAATAACAATGTCAGTTCAGTGTAATTCGGTTCACATTTTAATTCAGTTTTCTTTATATAATATAATGCGGTTTATCTAATTAATGAAATTCAAAATAAAGTTATTATTTTAAAAATTTTTTAAAAACAATGATTATATTATAACAGGATAAAAATCTATAATTTTACGCTGAAAATTGACTATAGAAAAGTATAGTTTGAATGTTAAGATTGAAACTTGACTATAGAAAAACATAGTTTGAATGTTAACATAACTATTACACAAGATAACTGAGTGACTCACTACTGATTAAACTAAACCAAGTTCTCTTTACTATTATTAATGCTATTTTTTAAGTATAATGTGTCTGCTGTACATTTTTTTTACTGTTTTGTTATTCATTATAATTTTTTTTATTATAATAAAATCTTTAAAAATAATGGAGAGTTTTATGTTATATTATTTTTTATTTTTTTTAAATAGTCTCTGCTTGTTTAAAGCATTAATTTCCAATACAATGAATACTGGTGTGCTCTTTTAAGAAATTAAATTGTGGCAATAACAGCAAAAATAGGATCAGGGACGATGTCACTAGATGCTACCATTAATTACAGAACTTAGTGGTTTACATTAAATTTTATTAAAATGAAAGGAGAGCTGTTAATAATATCAGATGGTTCATTTCATTAAATTGTGGAAAACGTATGCATAAAATAATCAACAAAATATAGATATAGATATATACATAAGAGAGAGCATACCAATTTGGTTTGTCATCAGTGATGATGTAGTGTTGTGTTATGAAAAAGGTCAGAATTAAAGCAATGCACAAACTAGTATTCTCTTATTGGGTTTACTTTTCAAAATGTGGAAGGCTATTAACTCTTTGTATTATAGGGCAGTGGTTCCAAACCTTTTTGATTCGCATGCCCCTTTTTAGAATCGATTTCTACGCAGGAACCCCTTATGTCTACCCCAAGTTAAAAGTGTTAAGAAGTTTTCTGAAGTTGTCACAGAGCCCCTGAGCAGTGGATGCGGATTCCTAAGGGATCCTCAGAGCACAGGTAGGGAACCACTGGTTTAGGAAATAATAAATGAATGTTTCTCAGTTGAATTAAAGGCAAATTTGCATTAGCTTTCTTACAGTAGAGGTCAATAATATTTTGCTTACTAATGACTTTATCTTTTTTTTTTTCAATCTTTAGAGCAAACAAATTAAGCTAAAAATAACTATGTTACATATTTTGTATTTATTATAAGATTTACTACCGGGTAACCAGCATTTCTGTCTTTTTATTAAAATAGGGTAATTTGTATGTGCCAGTGAGGGACTTCCCTGGGAAGGGGGAATACACCAAAAAAAGTAATGGACTTATTTAATTGTCAATAAAAATAAAAGTCTTAAAAGATAGGCTCTTACTAATGGTTTAAATATGTAAAGTATAAGTCTTCAAAGATAGGGTCTTACTAAAGGTTTAGATATGTAAAGTATAAGTCTTCAAAGATAGGCTCTTACTAAAGGTTTAGATATGTAAAGAATAAGTCTTCAAAGATAGGCTCTTACTAAAGGTTTAGATATGTAAAGTGTAAGTCTTCAAAGATAGGCTCTTACTAATGGTTTAGATATGTAAAGTATAAGTCTTCAAAGATAGGCTCTTACTAATGGTTTAGATATGTAAAGTATAAGTCTTCAAAGATAGGCTCTTACTAATGGTTTAGATATGTAAAGTATAAGTCTTCAAAGATAGGCTCTTACTAATGGTTTAGATATGTAAAGTATAAGTCTTCAAAGATAGGCTCTTACTAATGGTTTAGATATGTAAAGTATAAGTCTTCAAAGATAGGCTCTTACTAAAGGTTTAGATATGTAAAGTATAAGTCTTCAAAGATAGGCTCTTACTAATGGTTTAGATACGTAAAGTATAAGTCTTCAAAGATAGGCTCTTACTAATGGTTTAGATATGTAAATCCCAAATCTTTTGTATCAGCGGATGGTTTAAAAAGTTTCAAAGCAGTGACATTTTGAAAAGAATTTTGAAATTCAACTTAAAGGTGCACAAGTCATGTTATCATTATTTTAAAATGATAATCATGTATGTAACAAATCTGCTAAGAGATAAACTAAAAATTGTCAAACAAAATGTTTAAAAGTATTAATGTTTGACCTGGAGCTTTATAAATTGATTGATTCTTTGTTATACATTTAAATAAGGATAAATACATTTAAGGATATTTTTTAGGATATATAATTGTGTGATGTTAAGTTTAAAAAAGTGTTTGACATTATTCAAAAACAAGATGTTTAACTCCTTCCAAATGTATGGTAGCAATCAAAGAGAATAAACATGAAGTTGTTTCCCTTCAGAGTTACAATTGGATATGCATCTTCCAAGCAAACACCCTCGTCCTGCGTGGTTGTTGTTGTTGTTTCCCCTTTGTAATTTATTGTAATACGCTATGCATACACTTAGGCCTAATAATATTATTTTATTGACAATAGGGGGGGGGGGGCACAAATACCTAAAAGTGTCAAAGGGCCTCCAAAAGTGTGTACAACAACAACAAATTAACACGAGAAAGAAAAAGAGGGGTTGTCTATACCCTGCTTTCCCCCTCAATCCTTCTCCGATGTTGTTGTTGTTGTTTCCCCTTTGTAATTTATTGTAATACGCTATGCAGACAATTAGGCCTAATAATATTATTTTATTGACAATAGGGGGGGGGGGGCACAAATACCTAAAAGTGTCAAAGGGCCTCCAAAAGTGTGTACAACAACAACAAATTAACACGAGAAAGAAAAAGAGAGGTTGTCTATACCCTGCTTTCCCCCTCAATCCTTCTCCGAATACAATTCATAGAATTTATAGATTAGTACCGGTAATAAATATTAGCGTTAGCAGACTTTGCTGGACTTGCTGAATGTCAGTTCCTTGCGCGCTTCTCACTTAAGACTTAGTAGAGCCACCTTGGATTTGGGGATTTAAGTGGATAATTTATTAAACATATGGTAAATCATAAAATTTACATTTTCTACTATAATAGCCATATGTGAACATGGCCGAGTGAAGGGGGCAATAGCAGGTTGGAGGGGGAAAGGTGCGCCAAATTAGCCTTAGGTAGAATCCTAAATGTGATTTAAATTGATGATTTAAAAATGATTTGACATGAAATTGATAAAATGATTTTAATTGGTAAAATCCCAAGAACTTCACAAAGATAAGGGGCGCCTTTAATTTGCATTTTTTACTGGTACGCCCGGGGCGCCGTTTTTTGTTGACACGGTACTGTACGTGATATATAACATGTAGTTTCACTCAGGTTTTTAAGAATGATTTAATCTTAAGCAATCATAAATTTTAATCATTTGTAGTTTCCCATTATTTTAGTAATGTACATCACATTTACTTTATCTATTTCTACCACCGCGCAACGAATATTTTTTTTTATTCTGGCCTTAAAACTCTGGGCTTGGCTGGCACGCAGCGCGTAGCCGGAGAAAGGGGGCGTAGACTGACGTAGGCATTCTTTCCTGACCTGACAATCAACTTGGTCCAATCCAATGTAGGGTTTTCGATTAATTCTTCTTCTTTTATGTAGGTCACTTTGTGTAAAATGAGTTTAGTTAGTAAAATAGTTTATATATTTGTAATTATTTTTAATATCACCATTTTATAAGTGTGTCAAAAACTGTGTGAAAAAATATCTTTTCGTAAATATAAAACTATAACTATGTGCTCACAACCCTAATAGGATTCGTCCATTTTCATTGGCGCAACCAACACTGACACCACGTGACAGTGTTGGTTTGCTGTGGGGACGAACGAACTTCATCGTTTATATAGTCGCCATGATCGTGAATTAAGTTCTGTGAGGATCGTAAATTGCATTTTACCATGGAAACAAAAGTGGACTTGAAGGAAATTTCAGTCTCGAACACACTTAATCTTTGAGTTTAAATATCCCGTGCCTTCAATCTGAAGTTTTTGTCTTTGATCACATCTCACAAACCATTCAGTAATCAAATTTAGGTACACCCTCGCCTCTTAAATCTAACCCCTCAAACATGGTGGAGGGGTGATAGATTAAAGAAGGCAGATGAGAGAAGACTACGATAATATTGTTATGACAATCCAAGACTTAAAATTTGTTGAGGTAAAACGTGTTTAGTGGCATATTTTTAATTACGTTGTTTAGATATTTAATGATGAGTAAACAGCATAACTCGGGAGAATGGCGTTCCACATAAATTATGCTAATGAAGTTTATCAGGAGGTCACGCGGGTCTTGTCGAACCAAACTGGTTTGGGTCGGTTTAGAGGTTGCTATTCGACTTGGGGATAATGGCAACCTAAAACTTGAGTAACATCTGGAGGCGAAATCAGTGTGTAATGTTCGCTTTAAAAAGCACATACTTAATTGTTATTAATTGTGAGTTCATTGTAAATGTTCAACTACGTTTTTAATATGAAAAAAACCTTCATTTTGTATATATTGGCGTAATAGAGAATTCTATTAACAAGCTTTGCAGATCTAAACCGAGTGGCTCATGCTTTCTCAGTCTGCAATATTAGGTCTACCCATGGAAAGGAAGAAACTGTATTTTTTTTTCTCAGTTTGGTAGGCGGAAAATTCAATTCCTGTGCCCAGCATTTTTTTTTTAATAGATTACTAACTTGCTTCCATAGTACACCCCTCACAACAATTTATTTGGTATTTTTTAAAAAAAGAAATGACTGCTGTAACATATCTCCGTACTCTATAAACAAAAGGAAATAAAATGACGTCATATTATACAAATGACGTAGGTAGTTTTGGCGTTGACTACAAACTCTGCCATACAAATATTTAGTCAATTTGAGCTTTATTTCAACATTGATTCTCATTTCCCCGATCGATCAGTTTGTCATCACAACTTCAATCGGTTAAAATTTGTGTTTGATTACAAATACTTTACAAATTAACCTGTTTGAGACTAGACTCGATCAGGTTGATTAAACAAAAAGATAGGGATTTGTCAGCAAGTTTTTATGTATCGATTTCTTTCGCCCTATCACATTCTCATTACAGCAGTAACCTGATCTTACGATTGATTTTTCCTTAGGCATATTCATAATGTAAGCATTGCAGTAGTATTGTTCAAATTTAAGCCAAATATTATAATTTATGTATTAATTTAGAATATTTTAAAAGAGGTCGGGATATTATTCTATTTAGGATGCGGGACTTGGGGCTTTTTTTTTTTGGTGGGGGGGGGGGGGGTTTTTTTTTTTTTTTGTTGGGGGGGTTCTGTATTTTTATATCACATAATGAATGAAGTGCTATGAGAACTGGTATGTCCACTTTTAACTTTAAAATAAATCTACTTCTTTGGCTTTGGTGAAATGTCCTTAAAATTACAGGTGCAATATATCATTTGGCCCCACTGCATTGTCAAAACGAATTTTAGATTCGTGTAAGTTAAATTGTCTACATTCCCTTCTTGGTGTCCTGTGCCCTTTATTTTAAAAGTTTAAATAATGAAATCTTTCGGTATGGGTTAAAGTTCAAAACACACTTGCTTTATCGTCGTAGCGTCTTACACCATGAAAACATTTCGCGCTTTGCCTGTCAGGGATATTCCCTCTCCCCTTCCCCCATAGCACAGGCCTTATCCAGACTACATGACCTGTACACAACCGCAACCTTGGCTGTATGCCAATGCGGGTCTATTTTAGTCATGCCTAAACAGCCTGTTGGGAGCAGGCTGCAAGCTTGGTTGGTGCGTTTGGCTTGCAGGAGCTCGGTCTGAATCGATATTTTTTCTGCGTGTGGCCCAAATATGAGTCTAGCCTAGCAGCAGTCTGTTCGCTTTAATTCATACTCTCCATTTGTAGCCTAGCTGTTGTTTGTCAGCTCTTTCAGTAGGCCTTGAATTGATGACTCCAATAAGGAAAAGTTATTTCATTTGTGACTGAAACGCACGAAAAGGCAAAGCATAGAAATGGTGTTTAGTAGATAGTACATAGACATAGAGATAAAATCAGTCAATTTAAACCTGATTTTACTTTTTAATTTCGACAACGGTGTTTGTTTGTTCGTTCGTTTATGTCCAGAGCCAGTCCCGATTTCAATTTAGTTCAGTTAATTTCTGAGCGAAATAGGCTCGACAGGGGCTTGTTTCTTACACAAGTACAGACTTTATGATATTTGCAAAGTGATTTAAGAAGCTATTAAACAATCAGGGGCCGTACAATTTTTATCAGTCATAAGTTCCCAGCGTCATGTTAAGAACTTATTTATTTAAAACTGTCGTACCTATTGTGTTAGAAGGTAAGCGAAGGCGCAGGTATAATTATATTTTAATTTAACTTGCGAACGTTAGCATTGCCCGCACAAACAATCCCATCGACTATCAAATAACATTGACTTGTCAACTCAGTGAAAAACAATTACGTCTGTCGGTACAGTAACGGGAATCACGGCTTGAAAAGCCTTGAAGGACAAACGGCCCGTTGCCGTTGGCAGAATCAGAAATAATGAAACAAGGGACTTCGTTGAAAGATATATAGTGGGATCAAATAAACGGTCATTCATCAAAACGGCGGTTTGTCAGCAATTAAAATACAATTTATTGAGAGTTTAGCATTCAGGGTCAGAGGTTCACGGTCAAACTATCATAGTAAACTTGCATATAATTATATTTTAATTACGAATAATTAAATAAATAACCAAACAGAATGGGTAATCGTTGAAAACACGAACAGTAATCATCGGTCGAGGCCGCCCGAGTAGACTTAAGGCAAAAATAATGCAAATTCGGTTTACGGCACACGCGTGCTGCAATTTGTTATCTCCAGCCACGAGAGTGCTCTTATTTGATTAAGTTTACGTGAGATTTTACAGATGATTCTCTGAAAACTCAAATGAATTTACACTCATTTGTCTTAGTCTATGGAGCACTGACAATAGTTATATGACGCTTTGTGACATTTGTTCCCGTTTTAATTAAATACAATGCATCACAAAGACATCAGATTTCCATGACATGGGTTAAATAATAATTGTTTGTCTCCAGGTCGCGAAATTAATTGGAAAACTTCATGAGAAATATGTCAGAACTTATCGACGCTAAGCCTTCTACAGACGATGGTGAACACACTTACCAAGATATTCCTAAAACATCAATGGATGTTGCTGACGACGATGGTATAGATGGGGAGATAGAGGATGACGGTCATATTGCTGCTGACAGAAAATCTGTGTCAGGAAAGCGTAGTAAAGCAGCATCTGAGTCCTCAAACAGAGAACTACATAGTACAAACAACAAAGATAATGGGGATGCAAAAAAGCACCGCACAAGCTCAGATCGTAGGCATCATCACCACCACCACCATGGTAATAGCAACCATCGAGACAGAAGGCGACGTTCAAGCGGCCATAGTGATGCTGATGCAGATCTTCATGGATCTGATGAAGACTTTAAGTCCAGTGGTGGTGGACAATCCAGGCGAAGATCTGGTAGTTCAGTTGACTCACATTTAGAACACAGTTTAGTCGATAAAAATTCTCACTCATCTCCAAGAAAACAGGATAGGAGTCACCGGGGTAGATCACGACATAGTGCTGATGACTATGCAGAATTGGGGGGATTCAATGAATCTCAGGAGGATCCTCTAGCCTCCATTCACTCAAGGAGAACAATAAAAGCCAAAAGAGATTCTCACAGGAGGTCCCATATGGAAACTGTTTCAGAAAAATTTGAAGCTGAGGATGGAGAAATCCTGGAAGATGGTGAACTTGATGATGAAGAAGATGCAGGTGATGAGGAACGAGAAGTTGGTGAAACTAGCAAAAGTGATGTGGAAGGTATGAAATCAGGCATGCATAAATGGTCAGCCAATAAATGGCATTGTGTATGGTGAAGAGAAAGTATCCTCCCTCTCGAAAATAAACCTTGGTGCCCTTTTTCCCAATAAAGAAAAAAAAAATAAGGTGCCCTAAACCTCTGTCCCTTTCAACTTCAACCTTTGGTTAAATAATTTGAGGTCCCTCTTCTTCTCCGTGTGACTCCTTTGTTACAACAGCCCCAGAAATGAACATCAGTAATAGTACCGGTACAGAAAAAATATTCACTTTTTTTATAAATGAGTTACAGTTACATTTTTAAAAAAAAAAGTAAACTGTGTCCTCAAAGCCCTTGATATTCAAATACCGGTACTGTAAACTCTGTCCTCAAAGCCTTTGTTATTCAAATGCAAATACAGTAAATTGTGCAAATCTTGGTGTTCCAGAGTACCGGTATATATGTTCGTCAATTAAAATTGAGTCTGGTATTTAACACATGTCCCTCCTATCTCACCATGCCCCTACCAATTAATTATTGATTATTTCTGAATGACCATTAATAAATCTTATGTTTACAGTATCTGAGAACAAGTAGCACTCAGGGAAAGAGATTCTTGGATATTATTATTATGCAACATTATAATTATTTTATCATAAGACACATACAGAGATCAATTGGTAGGGTTTGTAAATTATGAAAAAAATCTTTGTCACTTCCTTTGCTAGTTTATAGCTTGATCCCATTTTTCTCTTCAATAGCCTGTGTCAAACAAACAAATAAATTATCAAATGACACCGAAAACAAGTCTTTCTCCAAATCCTTATGGTATATAAAAGTTTCCCTAATTCGATCGTGTTCAAAACCACAATCCATGGTCTTTTTAAAAAAAAATAAGCTGTGCCACAATCCACAATGAATATGGGCCACTGACGGCTAATTATGATAGTTAAAAGCCATTGTATGGCCCTTAATCAGTAAAGTTCTGCACAAAAAGTTAGGGTAAAAATTTGTTCAAAATAGCAAGGATCATATGGGGAATGCTATCATATATGGTACAACTCTATCAATGGCAAACATTCTTTTAAATGCCCAATCATTTTGAATAATTTACCTGTACCAGTAAAGTAGTTAATTAGCTAAAAAGAAAATCCAATTTATTTCAGTTTCTCCACCAAAATCATCTGGTCAGGATGACCGTAAAGGTGAGAAACTTGACAGAAAAAAGACTAACTACAAAGATAAAAGAAAACGTGAATCTGATGCAAAGGTATGTTCTATTTATACTACAGATTTACTACATTTATGTTTAGATTAGCTATGACTAGAGCAGGGGAGTCAAATTCATGATATATTTTTATCTGTTGCCCTTAAAAAGATTTGTTTGTTTATGGTTAGAAGACACAATACCGGTACCTAATAATGATGTCAATGTATCTTCCACTGTTTGCAGCCATCGTGCCAACTAATTATCTTCATGTAAATATTTGTCAACAAGGTAATAATAAAATTAAGGACCAAACACTCAGGCTAATGCATTATGCAATGAAGTAAGGGGCCGTTGGGGCAAATAAATTTTCTCTTGTTTAATTTTATTAAATCAAGATGTTAAACATTAATCTATTTTTTTTATGATGCATGCATGCAATTTTAATTACTGGTACTTTTTAATGTCCACTTAGAAAAAACGTTCCAAAAAGCATTCTGAGGTAGAGAAAACCGACAACCAAAACGGCCCAGCACCTGCTTGGGGTTCAGGATATCAAGGACCAAAACCCAAAGCCGCACTCTTTCGCAACAAGTCTCCTCGTTATGGCAGAGGAAGCAAAGGCTATCAAAGTCCACCAGGTTTATATGACAGTCCGTCATATTCTGAAGATTCTGAGGATGAGTAAGTGAAATGAAATGGACATTTTAAATAACAAGTTTAGTTTCATTTATACTTGTCAGTTGTTGTTTTTTCAAAATCCATAATGTAACTAAATGATTTATGTGCATAATTTAATTTCATAATGCATTGTTTCTTTTTCAGAACAGCTATTACGAAATCACTCACGGAAGGTTACATTGATGCTTCAGTGGCTGCTGATGAGAAAGAGGTAAACATTTATCGAGATGAGCATCAGCCCAAATAAATAAAACACAATTTTTACTTTATTTGGTCAATTCTAATAATTAATACTAATCTCTTTTTCCCCATCAAATCTATACAAGATGTTCTTTATATCATCTTTAGGGTATATTTAATAGTAAACTGAGCTTGAAAAAAAAGAAGAGAGAGAGAAATTCTGAAAGAAATGACAGAAAACGGAGCAGAAATCAGGAAAACAAATCCGAGGGTCCTCCAAAAAAGAGAGCTCTTGTGGATATGGCAATGTCAGATCGACCTGCCTGCAAGTTTTACATGGAAGGAAAATGTACCAAAGTTAGTTTTTTTGTCCAAGTGTCATTATAAATTAAAACCTATAACTTTCTAATATTCTATTCCATTAGTCATTAAAAACCTATCATTTTTTATTCCCTTAGAAATAATTTTGACAGAGAGTCAATTTTAATGCTCTTATACTTATATGCTTTAAGTTTAAGTAATTTCAAGTACCGGTTTATGGTAATGGGTCTACTTAAAATGTCAATATTTATCTATCTGATAAGGTTAAAAATTAATGCACAACAAATTAATTTCAAACAGGTTGAAAGCAAGATTTCTGCCGATATTTATATACATATTTTATTAAACATGTTCCTAATTTGCTTTATATTTCTAAGAATGCATCATCCATTTAAATATTTCAGGGAAGTGGCTGCCCATTTAACCATGGTGTGGAGAAGCCTCGTAAAATGGAAGTGTGTAAATATCACCTTACGGTTAAAGGATGTCACAAGGAACGATGCCAATATATGCATCATATCCTTTTTATTTCCATAAGTATTTAGAGGATTTTTCAAAATAAAAATCTTTCAGTTTCAAGTACACATAACCATTCAAGAGTTTCACTTGTATAAACGTGTATGTCCTTTGTCATAGATGAAAATTAAAACTTTTCTTATTATTTTGAACTGTAAATAAATATTATTATTGTGAGGAACCTAGAGTGGGTAACTTGCCTTGATTAATCCTCAGTTAAATTCCAACTGGCAATAACATTACATCTGCATCTATTAAAACTTCATGTTCCCCATTGAGTTTTACAGGCTACCTCTCTAAAAATGTAACCTTAACCATTGTCACAAGATTTCCCATGCAAGTATTACCACACCGGGGCCAAGTGTTACTCTGGAGACAGGTGCAAATTCTCACATGACCCTCTAACCGAAGAGACCAGAAAAGCTTTAGCAATGAGAGTAGATGAAGATGATGTAAGTTACATAAAATGAATTATGTAGGATATAAAATAACTGATTTTGTAATTAAATTATATATTAGTTAGTAAATATTAGAAAGAGAAAATATGTTGATAATACTTAATACCAGTATATTAATGGTGTTCCTTTAAGTACCGGTAAGGGAAGATAATTAACCGTACTTATCTTTTGGACCAATTTTCTTTGAAAATCAGCCTTTAAGAGATCTGCAAGGTTTAAATAATGAAATATTTAGAATTATGTATAACATAATTTACATATTCATATTTAAATATTTTTTTCAATTTTATGTCGTTTCCAACTGTGGACTAGTTAATATTATTTGTCAATGATGACCACACATTTAAATGACCTTAAATGCAATTTGTAGCTATGAAAAATGCTATGACAAATATATTAAAATTGAAAGCTTGAAAAAAATAAATGGCACATTTATTTACATAGATTATTGACATGGAAGAGGAGCAGGATTATGACTATGAGTATAGATCCTCCAGGGATTATGATGGCCGTAGCAGACCCAGTCTGTTGGGTAAGTCTAAAATCATTTATTTTTTTTTATAGTTTCTCTCATTCATATCTTTGTCATCACTAGACAAGTATCCCATTCACCCAAAACATTTATCAAAACAACTTAAGGACGCCTGCCTTTTATCATTTTAATGTACATTTTTGTGAGAAAAGACAATATAACATGAAATTGTGAAATTATGCATTTTAAAATCTTTAAGCATACCCGGAACCATTTGTGTTTGAGGCCAATGAAAAATTTAATTGCTTCTTTCTTCCTTTTTTTAAATTATGGATATTTCTCCCACATAGGTTCACCACCACGATTTAGAAAGGAAATGAATGTCAAGAAAATTCCTTCTCTGTTTGAAATTGAAGTACACCCTCCTGGCCAGTCTCCAAAACCATCTCCTCAAGCAGTCCGGTAAATTTATAGTGTTGCTTTTATTATGTTTTTTTTTTTTAAATTATATTTTACGTACCATTGATACCATCATCATCAAGTGAAGGCACAGTGTTATGAAATGACCTTAATTCTTTAAAATTTGATAGTATTATTACAGGTGTAAAATATTTTATTTGTGTCAAGCAAAGATAACATAAGTTTGTGTAGGTGCACTTGTTATGACTCAATGATATCTCTGATAATATGAATAAATGATGAGAAATAAAATTAAAGTCAAATTTCTGATATATCATTTATGTTTTAGTGCATTTAAATATGTTGTACCCAGTGTTGTTGGTTCTAAAAGGCTACATTTGTCTAATCACAGGCCATCCGGCTTCTACAGTGAAACCAATGTCTCCCCAAGTCCAGGAATGGGAGCCAACAGCGGCCACATGAATCCTGCCAATATGGGCACGATGAACAACTCTGGATCTAGGCCCATGGGACAAAATAATCAAGGAGCCATGAATCAAAATAATCTTGGGGGACAAGGGCTCTTGCAGGCACCCATGAGATCAGGCAATATGATGGGCAACAACAGGCCAAACATGGTCATGAATAATCAGCAAGGAATGCCACAACGTCCGGGAAATGGTAACCCTGTCCAGTTTATGGGACCCAGACAAGTGAACACCAACAGTCAGCAAATAGGGGGCAATGTACCAGTGCTTGACATGCTGGAGGCTGTACTTCACATTGTGGGACCAAACGCAAATATGGGAAACAATATTAGGCCAAGCAATATGAACATGGGACAGAATAATATGAACATGGGACAGAATAATATGAACATGGGACAGAATAATATGAACATGGGACAGAATAATATGAACATGGGACAGAATAATATGAACATGGGACAGAATAATATGAACATGGGACAAAATAACATGAACATGGGGCCTAGCAATATGAATGTGGGACAAAATAACATGAACATAGGAAATAACAACATGGGTGTTGGCCCTAATTCAAGGCAAGGAAATGTGAACATTTCATCCAATAATATGAGTGCAAATATGGGTTCTAATAATGTGAATACAAGTCAGCAAATGATAAGTCCAAATGGAAATATGGGCATAAATCAGAATTTGGGCTCAAACAGCAATATGGCTCCTGTAGTTCCCAATACTATGGTTACTGTAAATGAAAATTTAGCTTCTGGTGGCGCTGGAGTGGTGCAGGGAATGTCCTGTCCAAATATGGGCCAGGAAGTGGGAATAATGGATATGGACTATAGAATCAAGCGAGACATTGATGAAATTGAAGAAGCCAGCCAAGACCTGACAGAGTTAGATAAGATACGGCGACAGATTCAAGAGCAGATTGAAAAAGAAGATGAAGAAAGAGAAGATGATGATGAAGAGTCTGGAGTTGATGCGGAGTCAAAAAAACAAGGTCTAGGTCATGAATTGAGCCCAGAGAGGTCAGATGATTCTCAAAATAAAGAAGGTAATTGTTTTTTATTTTTTTCATTTATTTCCTTAATTAAGGTCCCAAAGAATGCAAAAATGATAATAGTTGACACCTTTATTTCTCACTTTCCTCAGCTTAAACTTCAAAAAAAACAAGTCATCTATAAATAATATGAAACCAGGATTATTTTCTAACTTAAATTTATCATATTTTTAGAATTATTTCAGACTAAAAATCTTTTAGAGTTAGATTTTTTGTTTTAAAAAAAGATTCAATCATTTTTCAGATCTAAGAGATGAAAAGGGAAATTTAAAAGAGTCAGAAGCTGATCTGGAAAATATAGAAATACCAGCTCATTTACCCAAGAAACAGAGAGAGCTCTTCAAGAGAATTCAACAGCAACAGTTGCTCAGAGAAAAGGAGAGAGAAAGGCAGGAGGCCCAGAAGGCAGCAGAGGAAGCTGAGGCAAAAGTTAAAGGTGAATTGAGTTTCAAAAACATTTCTTTTATTGTTAAAAATTTGCTTTTAAAACTTAATTGTAACCCCCACCATGACTATGACCATGACCCACCTTTAAAAACATTGCAAAAGCATTATATTATTTTAAAGCAAATGTTTTTTTGTTTTTTTTTTTTAAGTTTAACTGTGACTGCATCAAAAGTGACTACATCAAAAGTGATGCACTAATTAACTAAATATTTTTTCATGATAGCTTTAATAGGTATATTAGCTAAAAGAATTATTACAGAAAGTTCCCTGTCAATGGTAAAACGCTAACATGTAGGAAAAACATTATTTTCAGCTGAAGAAGATGACTGGTACTCAAGTGATGATGATGGTGATGATGGGGAGAAGAAACCCAAGCTGACAGATGTCCTCAAGAAACTAAATCAAGAAGTATGTTTTATATTCAATTTGGAAATTATATTTAGCTATTCAATTTTAAAGATTTGGGACTGAAAAATAGTTATTTTAAAAAAGAAAGTTTTTAAAAGAATATGGTTTATTGATTTTATTGTTGGGCTGTTTTTGTATACCATTGAATTAAGTTATTAAAGTTTATTGAACAGAATCTTGTGATACTTATTGTGGTCTTTTTTTTTAAGACGATGACTAAGCAAAGCTCAGGATCAACCTTTACTTCTGGTCCAACTACAAACTCAGAGAGCACAGTGACATCGACACCATCAACTGCATCAGCATTTAACATCATGCAGATGATCAATGCCATTAAATGTCAAACATCCTCTAGCGCTTCCTCACCCACCACAGCAGAGACTGGAGGTCTATCACCTGGACAGAATAACTCTCTACAAAGGTATACCATCCTTTATTAAAACTTCTTTTGAGGAAATTTAAATGCTGTGTTACTATCTTGTCTTCCTGTTAATGGAAATTGTTTTATAAAGTATATTTTACCCTCAAAATTGTCTTTGATTAAAAAATAGTTATATCTGTAAACTTTTAAATTCCGGCATAATTTTTTCAGTTCATCAAACGTGGATCCACGGCAAAGAAGAAGCTCTATGGCATCATCACCAGCCTCTCCACCCACTGAAGACAGCACCAAGTCACCATTATACCATCCATCCATGCCCAGCCTACAGCTTCAAACACTTACTGTTGATCCTCCAGTCGTCAGTGCGCGACCTATGAAACCTCTAGTTTATGGCGTGGTTAAAATCTCTATAGACTTTCCCAAGCCATATACCCATCTTCCAAAAGATGTTAATGCCTCTGATCCCGTCTTTAAAAATGATCCCCGGATAAAATGGCATCTTCAATACTTGGAGAAACAGCAAGCTGAGCAACCTAAAAAGACCATTGCCGATACAGAAAAAGCTCAGAAACCATCAGACCCACGTTTGAAGAAATCTGATCCCCGCATGACTAAAGCTGGAGACTCTCCTGGTAGTGGCCGTGGAGATGGCTCAAAGCCTGTGGATCCGAGGCTACAGAAACTTCAGACTGTATCACGTCCAGTTGATCCCAGACTCGCTCGACAGGCGGCTGGAAACTTAGATCCTCGACTCGTGCGCCAGATGAGTCAGGATAATTCTAATTTCATGTCAGGTTCTGTGGGCATGATGGGAAACTCCTTGGCTGTGTCCACTATGGGAGGACCTATGAACCAGATGGGAGGACCCATGAACCAGATGGGAGGACCCATGAACCAGGTGGGAGGACCCATGAACCAGTTGGGAGGACCCATGAACCAGATTGTAGGACCCATGAACCAGATGGGAGGACCCATGAACCAGATGGGTGGTCCAATCAACCAGATGGGTGGTCCAATCAACCAGATGGGTGGTCCACTGAACAGCCTAATGGGAGGACCCATGAACCAGATGGGTCTGCCTTTGGGAGGACTTATGAACTCAATGAGAGGCCCTATGAATTCAATGGGTGGGTCTATGGGCAATCAGATGGGAGGCCCCATGAACAAACCTGTAGCTCACATGAGTAATCAACTTGGTGGGCAAATGAACCAAATGGGTGGCGGTCAAGGGAGACAAATGAACATGAACCCTGGCAATATGAACATGATGGGTGGCCAAATCAATGGCCAAATGAGTGGATCAATGACCAATCAGATTAATGGCCCAATAAATCAGAATGGTCTTGCTGCAAATTCTATCAATAGAATGGGAGGCCCCCAGGTTGCACCCAGCGGTGTCATAGGTGGCCCAGGATTACTTACAAATGACTCTTCTGTGCTGGATCCAAGATTAAAATCCAGTGCAGATCCTCGGCTCGGAAATCAAAGACCATCTAATGATCCTAGGAGTGGCAACAATGATCCAAGATTTAAAGCAAAGCTCTCAATTCCAAAAGAACAACCAAAAAACTTGAAAGACCCACGATCTTTAAACAGAGATCCTCGTTCAGTGGGGTCTCCGAAAATCGATGGCTCCCTAGAGCCTAAAGTTGTTGGAATTAGTCAAGATAAAGCCAAAATACCTATTGATTCACGACAAAATTCCAATGACTTGTTACAAAGTGGATCATTGCCTTTTTCTAATTGGAGTTCAGGACAAAGTGACACATCACTTTCCAACAGAGACTGGCACCCAGATACTAATGATAAGCTGGATATAGATGAACGACTTTCACCATCATCAGCCATGCAGGACTTGGACAGTGATTGTCAAAAACAAAATCGCAAATTTGACTATCGCAATGATCCACGCTTTAAGAGAGTTAAACGTTTTACGGGTCAGAGAACAAGTAGCATGGACTATAGTTCACCTTTAGGTGTCGATGACCCGCAAACAGCTGGCGAGGAAGCCGGAGACGGTAACAATTACAACAGTTATAATCGACCTAAAATCTCCAATAAAGATCCCCGCAATAATAGAAATGTTCCAAGTCCCTCTCTCCCAGACACATTGGAAGACTTTGATCTTCCTGACTCCCCTACATTGACAGTCTCAGAGCCAGAAGCTGATTTAAAGGTGAAAGATTTGTTCAAAGCTATTGACCCAACAGCATCACCATTTTGCTGAGTTGTGATGATGGATTCTCTTCATTCACTCTCAATGTCTTATGCATTTGCAAGAAAATCTTATTGCGAAATCTCAAAATAGATCTATGTCAAAAAATACAATTAATGGTACAGTAATTCAAAATAGTTACCACTTATCTATTTTTTAGAATTGAAAACTATTAAAAATTAGCATCTTTCAGCTTTCTGGGAACATATAATTGTATCTCATGTTGCAACTATTTCACTAAATAGCTGAATTTCCACTTAACTCCAGGTTCAATTTAAAAAACAAATTATATGCTTACATTAATTTTTGCGCTCTATCATTGCCTGTAAAATATATTTTAAAGGCAGCAGATTAGTGAAAGATAATTTGTTTGTAATGACAAGACTTGTAGAAAATTAATAATGTTTTTGTTTATTTCTGTTAATGTAAAGCAATTGATTATTTTATAACATGATGCTTTGACATACCAGTCTTTCAAATAATAAGCATACAAAACACCCCATCCCCCAAACAGCATTGCGTCCGCTCCATCCTCCGTATCTCTTAGTTCACAAACTTTGTTCATTTACATGAATTTCAAGATTTCCCTATAAAACTAAATGAGCCACACATGTAAATATCTTGAGTGCTGTGATCTTATTCCTTTTCCTTATATGAGCTATTCATAAAAGGAGGGGGGATTTATTTGTGAATAGACAGTTTGAGTGTATATATTCATTTAAAAGCATGGTCAGTCCTATGTAAATAATTGCCTGAGAGAATGTGAATGCATTTCAGTGTTGGAGCCTTTGGCTAATCTGATATATTACCATTAAAAATGGCCTAGTTACCCATGAAAGTAATTGAATGCTTCTAGTCTTATAGCATATTTGAACTACATGTGTAACTTCTCAGCTGACTGTTGAGTACATGAGATTTTGTTATTGCTCCTAAATGTCCAACAAGATGTAAGTAGACCTTGTATTGTGTAGAAAAACTTGGCTCAGTACAAGTGTAAGCAAGCAAATATAATGCCAATATTTGTGTTGTACTTAATCTTATCTCATTTATACTGCTGGGAAATGTATCCAAGATCCTGTACTAATGTTCAGATCACTGTCACAGTTAAAGATTGTACACCACTACTGGAGATTCTTTCTTTTTTTCGCTCTGGAACCTTTAGCTAGTTTTTATCCACTGATTTGGGGCCATTTAAAATGTTGATGAGGTTGTATTTTAAGTTAGAATTGAATCATTCAAAATGTATTGCTATACAAAGCGCAATAAATAATTAAAGTAAATTAGTAGATCAGAGTGTGGTATTTGGTAAACTTGAAATTTACAAAACCATCCACTTTGTTATGTGCGTTTGGAAAGCTAATGTTCAGATGGACAAAATTAAAAACTGTTTGAATTAAATAACTATCAGAAAGAATCAGCCTGTGAATAGTCTTACATTACTTATACATATGTAAAAAATATTACACTCCATGAGGAGGAGTGCTGCTCTCACTTACAGTTACAGTATTAAATTTAATCTTGGCCATGGGCACTTGTTTGATTGGTGTTGATTGAATTTTGTGCAACATAGTACAACAAATGTATAGAGATTATAGTGTAGATCTTAGTTCAGACCAAACACATTATAATGATCTCATGGTGGAGATTTTTCTTTGTAAATTTGTTCCTATGATTTCTTACAACTTTGAATATTTTTGTCTCACAAAATTACTTCCAAGTAAAAAGAATTTTGAAACATAAACTGTTTTTGTTTATCACTTATGTTTAGTAACTATTTCATTTTTTTTATAACGGCATAGTACTTTTCCATAATGTAGTCTCAGGGTGAACCCAGTGACGTTGTCAGTGTTAGTGCTGCATGGGATGGGCTACAAAAGGCATACATTCACACTTACACTCTAACCATTGGCGTTAATAATGAAATGAAAGTGGGTTAATAAAAATTTCATACGCCAGAGAATGACTTATTGACTAAAATGTATAAAGCAAAAAGAGGCCCAAGCTTATGGGTCATGATCAAATTTAGGATTAGGGGTCGTCCATTAATCATGTCAATAAAATATGGGGATTAGATTAGTTGACGTCAACAATCATGTTTTCTATATTAAAATTTTCATCTTAAAAGTGACTAGTTATTACATTATTCTAACAAATTTAATGGATTAAACAGTTAAATAATTTTTAAGCTTTTAACAATGTAAGATTTATTTAATGTGTGTCTGTGCACTGCTGATGGCTGGTCAGAATTTTAGCATATTTAGTTAATGCAAGAGGAGTCAAAAGTTGGCCTCTCTTCGCCTGTAGATCTGTTGTCGTAAATATATTTGCAATCATGTTGCAGGTATGGAACAAGGGCAAGTGTCATGTGCAGTCGAGATAAATGATATTAATAGAGTAGGAATACGATAATTTGAGAATTAATCTAATTAGTAATTAGGGGAAAGTAAAGTAAGTAACATCGCTGCTTGAATGGATTTGTAAAATCTGTAAATCTATTTAGCATCATACGTCATGTTCACCTGCACCGAAAATGCATAAGAAATTACCACCTGCTCCTCAACAAAACGGGATTCAACTAATGCAAGTAGCTGCCAGGAGACAGAGAGAGCTTATGGCAAATTTTTGCTCACATTGACAATGTTTCTATTGTAAGTGATGAATGGTTAGATGAGGATGATCTCGACTTGTCTGGTATATCAGTTCCGCAATATGAAAATAATGAATCAGCTACTATGACCATTGTTACTATAGCCGATAGAGCAACACCTGCCTACTCCCCGGGGAGATGACCGCATCTAGAAACTATGCTACAATTGTCAGCTATAATCACAATAATCATATTTATACTTCCACCTTTTAATTGATTCTGCATTATTTTTAAGTTTTAAGCTAAAGATGCAATAAAATGTTTTCCTACAAATTTGTGTCATTAAAATAGATCAGTATTTTATTTTAGTTATTTTTTTTTTTTTTTTTGGTTGGGGTGGGTGTATTAAAATGTTGACGGGGGGGGGGGG